ATCAAACCAGTCAGTCCTAGAGGAGATCAACCCTGACTGCCCTTTAGAAGGCCAGATCCTGAAGATGGAACTCAAATACTTTGGCCACCTAATGAGAAGGAAGGACTCACTGGAGAAGAGCCTAATGCTGGGAACAATAGATGGCAAAAGAAGGAGGGGACAGCAGAGAATGAGGTGGCTGGATGGAGTCACTGAAGCAGTCGGCGTGAGCTTGAGTGGACTCCGGGGATGGTGGAGGGCAGGAAGGCCTGGAGGAATGTTGCCCAGGGGGTCGCGATGGGTCGGACACGACTTTGCAACTAACAACAACAAGGGATGGGAAAACATGGAGGGTGGGAAGTGGAAGACAATACCTTCTGGACCTGCTCCATGAATGCGGAGCACAGTATGAATGCACAGTAAAAGGGACAGTGTGGTATAGTGGTTAAAGAGGGGCCACTTATGTGCCAGCAGCAGAATGGAAATGGGACTGGGGAGGCACTGGCAGTTGTCCTCACACAGCCCTTGAGCTGCTGGGTGCCCGTCACTCACACTCAGTGTAACCTCACCTGCAGGGTTGCCGTGAGGAGGACTCCCCAAGTCACCTTAGATTCCTCTCAGGAAGAAGGGTAGGATATAAAGGTCATAAATGAAATAAGTAGAACCCTTATTTAGAGAGCACCCGAAGAGATCTTCCTCTGAAGCAGTCAGCATGGCTGTCCCAGCTCATGCATTTCAAGAGCCATGGAGGTCCAATTGTAGAAAAAAGGCAGTGTGGTGTAGTGGTTAAGGGCATCTTGCTGGGCATCCTGCTTCTCCTGGTATTGAAGATCCTCATGATAACCAAAGGGAAAGCAAACTAGAAGGTCATGAAGCAGCAACCCTTCCCACTATATTTCTCCTAACAGTTGGCGATCCAGTGAGGCACAGTGGTTAGATTGTTGGACTGTGACTCAGGAGATCTGGGTTCTAGTCCCTACGCAGCCATGGAACCCACTGGGCCAGTCACTGACCGTTAGCCCAACCTACCTCACAGGGTTGTTGTTGCAGGGATAGGATTGAGAGCAGGAGGAGGAGAATGATGTAAGCTGTTTTGAGTTCTTTAAAAGAAAAGGTTGGGATATAAATCTAATCAATAAAAGGTGCCAACATTACATTAAATAAATATTTTCTGTCCTATCTCCTGTAGTAGATACTTCATACATGTTCAGAAACCTTTCTTATGACTTCATGGGATTAAGGACTCAGCCTGGGCAGTGCAAAGACACTCCCTTGGGCAGGCCATGCCTTGGTTTGCATAGTCCTGCAAACCATGTAATTTTTCAGAAGTTATGTGCTTTACATATTCCACACCGAAAAGGCATGCTTGTTTACTGGAAGAAAATAGAATCTTGCTAATGTTAGTTCATCTGCATCATCTGTCCTCGCATGTCATTAGCTAGTGTCCCACTTAACTGTGTGTTGCTGATCATTTGTGCCTCTGGTTCAGGACATCTGCTTTGGAGACAGTAACTAATTTAAGAGCTCTGGGCAAACCCAGACGAAAAGGGCTCCGAGTCTTCTCCTTGACTGATTATTCCAGCATGTTCCATAATAAGGTAAAATGGCTGCCTCCCCCTCCCCTCCCTCTTCTCAAACTCGATGAGAAAAAGCTAAGTGCTGCAACGTTTGTTCTGTGCGCAGGCAATCCCAGTTCAGTCACCGGCATCTCTGGTTATCATACGTAAAAGGTGCAATGCAGGGCATGTTTAGATGGGAAGCATCCCACATGCCCCAGCATTCTCCAGCCAGCAGGGCTATAGGTGGCCTGCACAGCAGCTTTGGAGGTTCATGAGCATCCTCAAGGTCTGGCTGCTTTGCGCAGTACAGATTCCAAAACGAGTGAGACTGAGAAAATGCAAGACCGGCTTGGAAAGCATCCATATATACAACATCAGAGGCTCCAAACCTGTGTACACTTACCTAAGAGTAATTTGCATCAATCTCAGCAGGATTTTCTTCTGAGGAATCATGCATAGGATTGGACTGATAATGTATTACTAATAATCTTTTACTAACAAAGATTGGTAACCAGTTGTGCCCCATCACTTTTGTCAACTAGAACACGACTACAAGTTGTGCAGTGGATAGCATTCTACAAGTTTTATTTATTTATTTTATTTCTTAAAACGTTTTTATGCCGCCCCATTCGCCGAAGCCTCGGGGCGGCTTACATCACTAAGTTAAAATAATTAACTTATTATTATGACCTCCATAGAGGCAAAGCTCTCTAGTTATCACAAGCTCTGCTTTTATGTAATAATTCTCTTGCATCGTAACTACTGCTGGTGCAAGGAGCATCAGCTGATGGGAGGCACCGAAGGCAGCTTCTGTTTTCCATTCCACTGCTTGGCATCTAAATGTCCACAGCAAAGCAAGATAAACACAGACTCCACTCTCATGGACCTTCTAAAGCTCTAAAGCTGCCTAGCAAGGCTCTGTTCAAACTTATTTGGAAAGCTTCTAGAAGTAGGGCCTGTTTGGTGGTCCCTCTGGAATTTGGAATGCCTTTCCATGTGCTGTACAATTCACTCACCCTTCTCATGGTATGCTGAAATTGATAACAATACATGATAACAATACATGGTCACACGGCCAGCCCTACAACAAGCACAGTGAGACAACTGCTTCAGACAGCAGTTTCAGTGGCATCTTTTGGAGCATATAGCTGTGTTTGCCACACTTCCTGTCCTGTGCTCCCTAATCTGCTACCCTCCATCATGGCAGAGGACGAGGTCCAGTTGCCTGGCAGTACCACTGCTCAGGTAAGGCTCAGCTGCTATTGCAGTCACCTCCTCTACATGGAATGAAGATGGTGCCCCTTTGGAACACACATTGTTTGTTTTGTGGATTTTTAAAATTTTATTCATCCAAGAATAAAAAGTAACTTAGGCTGGGAGAGAATGGCTAGCCCGAAACATCCAGCTTTTTAGCCAGTAATGGATCTGAACACAAGTATTTCCATTTTTATGTATTTAAAGAGTCAAATTCTCAGAAAGCTGACACCTGCACCCAAAATCTTATTTTGCATTTCTCTGCCTGACAGGCACTTAATCATGCGCATATCCTGGAATTGTCCTGAATGTTGAACTGTTTGCTTTATTTAATACTTTCCCTATAAGTGCTGTGTTAGCCAGCATTTGTCAGAGTTTCTGTCTCAGAGATGTTTGGCCACATCGAAGGATGAGGAAATAGAGAAATGGATTTTTTTTGGCACAGGAGAGAGGAGGAGGAATCTCTAAATGAACGATGTTGCATAACTGATGTGGCACCGCGTTATTCTGTTGCACCAGCAATGCCCCCAGAGAAATGTCTGTGTATTCCACAGATCTCGGTTGTGTTTGCTTTTCTGCTTCGACAGATGGAAGGGGTTTAAGCTGGAGTGACAGAGCCTGGCACTGCATAGAAATGGCTTGATTCATCAGCAGGCTGAATCAGTTCATCTCATTTTAAAATGAAGTGCTGCTTAAAAGGCTTTGGGAGGAAATAGGACTATGGCAGTGCAGGAAGCAATGATTTGTGGAAGCTCGGGTTCCAGATCACCCACCCAAGTATTTGCAGCTTTGCAAATAAATCCCTAGAAGTTTTCTCACTGGCCTGTTTTCTCATGCATGCCTAAAAGCATAGAGAAGTTCTGCTCTTGTCCAGTTGGCAAATGCTTTCCCCCAGGGTCCCCAGAGGAGGATCCTTACCTTGTCACAGGTAAATGGCTCCTTACAGCCCCAAGCTGTATAAATTAGTACTAATATAGTGCCCATAAACTTTAAAGGGCAGGGCATGGTGCATCAGCTGTGCCAGCCATCAGAAACATTGCAGGACCTTGGACATCTCCATTGCTCCATTTAATTCTGAATTAGGTTGATATGGAAAAGGCCATTAAAATTGTGGACAGGAGATAACATAGATATTTTTGGTTTAATGTAGGGCTGCCTGCCTGTGGATAGCAGCCAGAAAAACCCACATGCAGGAATCCACAGGGACCAGTGGTAACATTAGAAACGCTTGCAATGTTTTATTTTGGACTGAGCCCGAACAGTCCCCTTTGTGGTTTGAAGCGCCCTGCACCAGCTCTGAAAGGTCCACCCCATCCTGGATACTTTTAGTAGCTCCTCAGGGAAGATTAAGCAGGGATGAAACTGTTCATAGCCTGGCTGCATAACTCTGCTCTTGCTCCAGGCTCCCTTCCCAATCCCATTGGTCATACGGTGTGTCAGGTGTAGCATCAGTAATGTCCTTATTGCATTCGTATTGTAACAGGCAGGTGCAGGAGGGGTTTTGTATCTTTTGTTCTACCTAGGGCTAAGGGAGTCATATTTTCGATAAAAAATTCGTGGCAAATGAAGCTGATTCCGAGTGAGAGCATTGCTTCTTGAAGAGGCATCTGATCAGCTGCATGATGGCTCATGTGTCCTGGGGGAGGGGAGCTGTTAAAAAACAGCACCTCCACCATGGCTCCGTGGGGTTGCAAAGACACTCCCAACTAGTACAGGAGAAAGCAAGGCATGGGGTGGGAGAAAGCCCCATCATGGTGAGAAATGTGAACATGACATGCAACCCTGACTCATCTTAGAATTGTTTCTTTTTTACAGCAGATGGTTTTCTGGGCTTTTGTGTCTGGGTGAAAATATTCTTGGTGACAAACGACCTAAAAGATAATGCCAAGTCAAAATCTTGCTGTTTCCACCATCGGTTTTAGTCCCACCCTCTGGGCCAACAGAGGACAGCTCTTGCCAGCTTTTGCATGATAGCTGTTCAGATCTTTGCTGACAGAGTTAATGCCCATTATCAGCCGGATGCAGCTCCAACAGCTGCACGCACAGTTGGATCAAGGCCAGATGTGTTTACTTACCACTCCCAGCTGCAGGGGAAACCTGCGTTTAAAAAAAGGAGTGCAATTAGTACCAGCAATTATTATTTTAATGATGGTAGCCACACTTTTACTGAACAGTATTCCCTTCTACCCCTCCTTCTTCATATTGCAGTTCATAGACAGTCACATTCAGATGACATCCCAGCTCTTGAACAAGTTGATGAGGATATTGCAGTGACAGAAAGTCAGATGAACTTCATATGTCCCATTACACAGGTAGGTAACTTACCCACTGAGTCCAGAGGATGTACATATTACCGGTGGCTTCATAGGCTTTTCAGAATAAGGCTAAACCTACACACATTTCACAAAAGAAATATATGTGGTAGATGCATGGTGGATATCAGGGGTGTTGAACTATGCCTGTAGACCCAACCTAGCCCAGAAGGGGGGTTCCCAAGTGACCCCACATCTTGATTGTCATTCAGGTTGCAATTTCCCACCTTCTAAGCAGTCTTCTGCCATTCTAAATCACTGTATTTTTGTCCCTACCCATTTTGCCTTCAAAACAACCAAGCACTGGAGTGCAACCTGCAAGAACTTCTTGAAAACTGAATTTTAGCCAGAGCTTCAAATGTAATGCTAGAGGGAAGCATCACTCTCCATACACGAGGGCTATTTGAAGTGAAATTGCACCAAGGTGCTCCTTTGCTGTGCTGATATGACACCGTTCAGATATTAGTCAAGAAACCCAATATGATTAAGGGCAAGTGTAGACAAAGTTTGACCTACAGTTCTGCACAGGGGTGGCCTCACAAGAGATGCAGATAAGCAGTTCTCCTTTGTTTGAGAACCTAAGAATTGCCTTACTGAGTCAGAGTGAGGTGTACCTCATAGCGCACTTTTTATAAGAATCTCAGCATCTAGGTCCTCTCCAAGATGAAATTAGCCAGTGGTCCACAAACAGCTTGCAGTCAGTCTCTCACCACCATCCTGTGACACTTCTTTAGATCCTTGAATTTACACTGAGTAAAGGAATGCCGTGCCACACAGACTCCAGGTGTGAGCACGCCCAAGGAGGCACCTAGAGATGGCGTTTTTGAGGCACAGGAGTGAAAGCCTGCGTTTACTCCAGTGAACCCTGCACCCCCACTTGTGCTAGGTGGAATCTTTGCAGGAAGGGAAAGAACGTTTAACCTACTCTTCCAGGCCATGTTGGTCCTAATCTAAATCAGGACCACTGTGCACTGGAGTAAAACAAAAGACAAGTCTCAGCTGTATGATCTGTGATTTGCCTAATGTGCTGTTTGGCAAGAAGCCAGCAGTAAATGGCCTGCGTTCTTGAGCATCTCTCCCAGTAAACGGTTGGTAAGGCTGGTGGAAGCTGGCCATCCAAAACCATAAATGGAGTCACCACCACAGTAGTCCTAGGTAGCATCTCAGTTTTAGGTCAGGTGCCCAGTTTAACCCCAGTGCAAATATGTGGAGAATTGAGGTTTCAGAGCTTCAGGCTAAGTGCCTGCTTTCTGTACCACTCAACTGCTCTGCACAATTTCTTCCCCATTCCTGCCCTGGTTAAAATTAGTCCCCCAGGAATGCTCCTAAGCTCACTGTGAGATCCATGTTCTAATCAGGGTTCTCAAAGGAAGTTAGCGTGTCCCCTGCTTCACTGAAGCCTAGACTGGCACAGGTGATATTCAGTCCATTGGGAGAAGATCATTCATGCACAAGAGAAGAAGGGTTTGTAAAACTGTCCTGTCTTGGTAAGAGGACGGTATAAAAAAGCCTTAAACAAACAAGCACATACTAAATGTATTTCCCACCTTTATGCCAAAAATTGTGTCTGTCATCCCACAAGCTGCTCCTGGTTTGAGGTCATTGTATGTCTGAGTCCGGTCAGATACCTGCAAGACCAGTAACTACAGATCCAAAGAATCTGTATACGGCTTTTATGTGCTCTGGAATTCCCCTTTGAAAATACATATGGTATCAGCCCCTCTTCTCCCCTGTAAATCCCTCCTTTAAATACTGATTTCCACACAGTCCTTCCAACCTCTCCCTCCCTCACCTCCAACCAACCAAAGAGCTAATTTGTCACATAGCAAAGTCCTTATAAATGCATCTGTAGCCTTCCTAGCCTTTGCCATGCCTGTTTTCCACTCCTGGCCAAGTGTTGATTTTGCTCCTTCTCCTCCTAGTATTTCCCACGGCTGCCTTCCTTCAGAACAGATATAGGGAAGCTTTTTTCAAACGGAAGTTTGAGATGGCCATATACCAGGGCATCATGGCCAGTTTTGTGTAGCAGGTGGCATCACTGCCCAAAGTTGGCTGCATCTGCATATTCTTTCTCTCGGTGTGCCATATGCTTGCACCCCATGAATGCACAGATGTGCAGACTGAGTGAGCTGGCTTTGCTGGGCCCTGCTTCTCCCTCTTGGAAAACATGAGGAGCAAGGGAACCCAGCGAGCCAACTTCCCTCCATCACCTTCCCAGCACGAGGACTCCTGCAGCCAAGGGTTCAGCCAGGAGTTGACTTTGCTCCATGCACCCTCTTGTATTTTCCAGCTGGTGGGGAAGCCCAATGCACAGGCTGGTAACACTTGCAGTGGCAGCCAAACCCAAGGAGTGGCGAATAGCTCTGCCTTCCCACAGGCCCGCCAGGAGGCCCTTCCAGCAGGGAGCAAGCGAGCACCTGGCAGAGCCCTCCAGAGGACCTGCCAGGTGTACCACCAGCCACAGCCGGTCCGTCTGCTTAGCTGGCCAGCTGCTCCCACGCTTGCTCAACCAGCCGGCTCTGCCGCCACTTGCTTCTGCTCACCTCGGCACTCCCACATGGTGCCCCAGCTGGGACTGCCACTGGAGGTCAGCTGAACTGCTGCAGGAAGTCAGCCAACTTCAAGGGGGGAGGGAGGGGTTGGCCAAACCCAGTGACCCCGCAAGCAGTGGAGCAGAGTGGACAAGCATCACAGTGGCCCTGCCCCTTGCTTGAGGCTGCACAAATACACCGTGAGGCCGGGGAAGCCAGCTCCCCACTGAGCTGCAGTGTCAAAACATCTGTCCCTGAGGCTCAGCTGGAAGCCACTCTTCTGCTCAGCCTGCTTTTTGTAAGATTTGGGGCTTTTGCAGGGGAGATCTTTATGGGTGTCTGAGGGGGCCTGGCAGGCTGGATTCAGCCCATGGGGGTTGAAGGTGAGCTCCTGGGGGCAGTGTAAACTCCTTGGGCAGAGTCTGTGCATGCATCTGCAAATCACCCTACTCATTGACAACCCCACAGAGCATTGTAATAAAGAACAGTAAGCCATAAATGGTGCTCATTTGCCAAAGGATGAAGAGGTTGGTACTGGTCTGTAGAGTTGACTTGAGGACATAATAGCAACTTGATTGGGAGAGTTAAATACAGCCTGATTAATTATTATAGGAGGAAATGAAGAAACCAGTCAAGAATAAAATCTGTGGCCACGCCTATGAAGAAGCTGCCATCTTAGAACTTATCCAGCACAAAGAGCAACGGAAGAAGAAAGCACGGTAAGCAGCCATCAATTTGTAGGAAAGGAATTCCACTTAGCCTGGCACGAATTGCACTGCTGTGCTTAGGCAGGCAGAAATGCAAGGGGCTCACATACAGGCACACTGAATCTGTAGGTGCAAAGCACTTTCAAATCTAGGCAACTACCGTAGAATCGCTCCTTGAAAGTTTTGCTTTGTTCAGGGATTAAATCCTCCTGCACATTCACACAGTGCATTGTTAAAGATGCTCCATATATTCTGGTTATGGGACGCTCCGTGTGTAACATGTGGATTGTTTAGAGAAGTCAGAGAAATCCAGAATAGATTTAGACGAGTTTAGGTTTCCTGCATTTCTATCTGTTCAACTTGAAGGTTCTGCAGCAGTTTTTCATGTGTTTTATGTGTGAGTGTGGGCATTAGCACTCATGTGCATTCACTAATGTGCATTAGTGCATTTGTGTGAGTGTTTAGTGCTAGTGCAAATTTGGATCTGATTTCCTCAATCAGCAGATGACGGAACAAACAACAGCTAATTCATGTGTAAAATGGAATGGATTTGACAATTGAACAAAGGATAATTGCATTCATCAGGAAAGTTGTGGTGCTGCATAAAAGCAACCTAAAGCTTGTTGGGGAGTGTTGCTTCCATGGAAAATAGGAGCATTCTAGAGCATAGGTCTGGTTCTTCCTTTCTGGGTAATGGCCCATGAGTTTCTTACTTCAAGAAATTCTGCTTTCTTCAAGGAAATGGCTTTGGCACTGGGTGAATAAAACCAGACCAGCTCTAATTATTTTTATTGCTTGAGTTTATCATTTTAAGAGCTATCACAGTTGTGGAAATTGCTGCAAAGGGCTTCTGTATTGCATCAGTTCGTGTGATGTGCTCTTGCTCTCTACACATCTGAGCTTATGTGATCACTTAGCCAGATTATGCAAATATCTCCAGGATGACAACATTTTGAATAACTAAATTCAGTTATTCAGTTGCCTGCTCTATCTTGATTGGCAATAGGGAATAAAGCAACCTTTGCAAGTATCTTAAAAGTCAGATTTTCATGTATGCACTAGTGTATGAATTAATTCACTTGGGGAGGGGGTGAAAAACCATTTGGTCTATCTGTTAAAGATTGCCCATTTATTTATGAAAATGTTTGAGAAGTAATAGAGGAAATGAAGGTTCTTTGGAGGACCAACATGAAAAGACTGAATAGAGGTGGGCATGATTTGGTTGTGTTTTTAATCCCATGTTTTGGATCATCTGGCTGTTAAGGCCCCAAAATGGGTGCTTCTCTTAGGACCCCATACTATGGCTGGTAGATGGTGGCTGGCCAATGGTAGAACCACCTGGAGTCCCTGCTCCGAGTTTGGAAACATGGAGAGAATGGCCAGAGCTGGGATTCTTACCTGGCACTGCCCTCCCTTGGCCCTCACAGCTGGCACAGTTCTTTCCGTGCAGCAGCTCCAAGAATGGAAGACCATTTTCAGAGCTGGTCCTGGATGGGTGTTCCAGGGGGTAGGAAAGGGTCCATTGGCATATTATGTATCCTGGTGGTGCTTCAGCCTGACCTTACACACAGGAGGCAAAAGAATTAGATGGCCATGATCTGCAGGGCAGAAAAAGCATAGTTATTATCTTCATCTCCATGTTCCTTCTGCCCTCCATTGGCCCATGAACCTCCAAATAGGTTACCAGCAGTCACATTGGCTTTTATTATGATAACTGATAAGCATAGCATTGTTTCATGTTGTTCTCACCTTTCTGTCCACCCATGACAGGTGGTCCAATGTATATCTAGAGGTATAGTTAGCACCAAGTACACCATGTCAAAGGAGGATGCAGATTGATCATCTGAATTCAGAGATGTTGGAGAAGTCCATAACAGATTCAAATAAGTTTAGATGCCACCATGGACTGGGTTTTTCCAGTTTACACAGTTTCTGCAGACTTGTGGACCTGTTTGTCACTTTTGGAGTGGGGAGGGGGTGGAATTCATGCTAATTTGCAAGTGTTCCTTAGCATTAATGAACACTTGTGCAAATTCGCTAATTCACATTTGTTAAATGGCATTAGAGTTAATGTGTTCTGAATAGTTTGGGGTGGGGGATGTTCTGAAAAATCCAGGCTCTGCCTTTGGTATTTTTAAGGTAGCTCCACAGCTTCCCAGTCTTAACCCTCAGCTCCCTAAAAGTCCTTGCTGACCAAATTTGGGCCAATCAGTCAACTCCAGACACATTCCGGAAGCTCCTCAACAGCCTCTACCATTCCACACAAATTCTTGTCTAGTACACGTTTATCATCTCAGCAAGAACCAAGGCCCTGGTGGTACCTCAAATGCAATACCCTCCAGGATAGGCATTGCATATATTCAGCCCCCTTTCATCAAATGCTCAGCAGTTGGCTGAGCAGAAAGGAAATGCCATTCTGTGTTCAAACCAGTTCTTTGTAATAGCATCATCTGGCAGACCATGTTCTGGACCAAAATCCTGATCAAGAGGGCTTTTGTAGGTAATCTTTGGTCTGATCTGTACATACAAAATGACGTGATATAAGCACTCTGCTCCACTTCAGGCAGGATATGACAGTTTTGCATGTTGCCATGTCAAAAAACAAACTAAGGTCCATTGAAGCAGAATGAAAAAAATGCTCTAGGCCAGTTTGACTCTTGCTGTGTTAGCTTTCTTCTTGCAGGGATATTGTTACACAAGGCAGCATCTTGGATCGTGCAATCCACAGACAAAGAAAGCTCCCAGAATGGGAATTTCTTTCCTGAGACCCACTCACACGAGGTTCTTGCAACCAATTTTGATCAATTTCCTTCTCCCTTCACCCCATCCCATCCCAATCACGAGGGCCTGCTGATCCATCCGAGAGGCTGCTTTTTCCAGGATGCTTAGTGGGAATACCCCTTTCTGTGGTCTTTGTGCACATACTTGCAGGATGTTTGCTGGCATCTCTGACCTATACTGAAGTGGTACAGTATATTTTTCCACCTTGTAAACCTTAGCACCTTATTCTGCCATGTATGTAGCTCAAATCTAACACTCCTGTGTTTGGGTATAACCAATATTTCAGATTTTTAAAGGACTGTATTCTATTTCCTGTGGTCAAATGTTTGTAGGCTTTCCACACTTAAATTCGTGGTGGCTTTCATCATAATCCCTCCCTTCTTAAATGACACTCCTGTAGCTTCCTTCTTGGTGCCTTTAACAGTTGAAAATTATCTCTCTGCTGAAGATGCATCAGCATTCCTATGTCATACCAATTCCTTTTTGACTTGAGGCTTTTGAGGCACTTTACCAGAATTAATTACTCCTACCCCCCCCACAGAAAAAATAAATTGCATGTGTCAGATAAACAATAATTATCCTAGCCTCTTTGTAGATGGAAGAAACAAACCCCAAACAGCGAGACTCCTTGCTTTGCCCAAGGCAAACTCAACCAGCAAGGGGAGACAGTGCAGAAGAAACAGAAGTAATGAAAGCTGGCACTCAGCTCCAGATGCTGAGTCTAAGGCAAAATGCCTTCCCAGGCAGAATGGGTGCCCTCTCTGGAGAGAAGGACCTCAAAATGTTTTGCACCGGGCCTCTCTCTACACTTGTTTGGGCCTCAAATATTTGGTGGTTTGGTATGATAACTGAAGACTTTGCAGTGGTGTGCTTTCAACACAATGTTTGCACCTGGTGGAAGCCATGGATGCTTTGGGCTTTGCATGGCCAATGCACGGGAAAGGTGTGCACTGCAAGCTGAATCTTACAGAGCCACCAGGTTGGGAAGGGCTGTTATAAACAATCTGATAGTCTTCCACCACAATTTTCCCTCTAGTGCTGCCCTGGTTAGCAACAGCTTTTATGGGTGGGCAGTGAAGAGGTAGGTGGGGTGAGAGTCTCTGTGGGGCGGTGTCTTGCCCCAGCACCTCCCTGTGAGAATAGCTGTGGAATCTGAGGAGAGGAAGAAGAGGGTTCTGCCAGCCATGCTAGTGGGTGCAAGGGCCAGGAAAGTCAGATGATGGGCCACCACTTGGAGCAGTTCTCCATTCTCAAAGGCTGTGGCCGGAAAAGAAACTTAGCACCTGCCTCCTCGCTGTCTGTACCACAGAAGCCCATCCCAAGGGCAAAGGCAGAAGTGGGCCCAGACGGAAGACCACAGCTAGAATTGCCACGCCTAGCTGCAGCACCTCACCTGGCCTGGAGCTCAGCTTGTGAGGAGGCAGTGTGCTTGGATCGGGGCCCTAATGACGAGCCAGGAAGGGGAGAGGGGCATCAGCGTTCCCCATCACACTGCTCAGTTGCAGGCCAGATTTGCTGATGTGCTCTCTACTGGACAGCCCCCTGTTGGCTGGACAGGCCTGGTCCTTGAGAGGCAGTATGGGACGGTGGTCCGAGTGCTGACTGGGCCCTGGGAGATCTGGGTCCTAGTCCCCACTCAGCCATGAAGCTCACTGGGTGCCTTTGGGCCTGTTGCTCCCTCTCAGCCCGGCCTATGTCCTACAGTTGTTGTTATGAGGACAAAATGAGCTATGTAAGCTGCCTAGTTAATGGATGGTGATGGTAACGGTAATGATAGCAATAGAACCCACAGGACAATCTCTGGTTAAGAGTGGATGCTGACTTTCATAGCAGCGTCAGCAGGGCCAGGAGATCAGACAGCATCCTTAACTGTCTGCCTTCTTTGCAATTTCTGTCCCTTGTTTGAGTCTGGTCCAGCCAGGCCCACCTGAAAATGAGCACCTTCTGTTGCGTCTCTGCTCTCACCCTCCATTCCCCCTCCTTCCCAGCGCTCCCAAGCCAAAAAGGCCATCATGAGGAATGGAGAGAAAGGACCAGGGCCACTTTAAGGCCTTTCTGGCCATTCAGCAAAGGGGAAGCGTCATCGTACTGTTCCATGAAGCCTTTGTTGAGGAAGTGCCTGCACTTACTGTAGCTGGAAAGAGGAGAGAGGCCTGGAGGGAAATTGTCGAAACCGGCATGCCAGCCCAATTGCTCATAAGACTGGAATGCTCTAAAGCTTGAACGGAAATGCAACCATGTCCTTGCAGCCCATCACTAAACATGTCATTGTGTCCCCCCTTCCCCAGCTGGGCAACTGTTGTAAGGTGTCTTGTCTTTGTCACAGTCACCTATGAAAAACGATTACAAGATTTGTGTAGCAAGAGCTGCCTTTTCTTGCACTTTTGAATGAAGTATTCTCTGCCTTGAGCCTTCTGGGTTAGAATTGAAACAAAATGTAAATTAACTATTCACATCTGAGTACATAAATAGAGTGCACTGTAGCTAATGAGGAGCAAGGTGAAAGTTTAATGACGTGAGGTCAAGGAGTGCTTGAGATGGAAGAGTTGGGAACAGAATTTAGGAGACAGAAGAAAAAGCTAAAATCAATCGTGAGTTTCTTTTTTTCAAATTAATTTTTCAACCTAAAATACAACTAAAAACTTATAAAAAAATATAAAATTGACCATGCAGTTAAAATTAATCTTAAAGATACTGTGTCCCTTACCACTGGGACCATAGGACACATGTTATAAATAGAACTCATTCAAATATTCTTTCAGGACATTTCCCCCTTCCAAAACTGCATTGCTTCTTTTGACTGTTCAAATCATTTCCCTTTTTTAATACATAATAAATGCATCCAAAATCTCATTAAACTTCTTTTTCTTAACATGCAGTTTTCTCACTTTAATATAAAATCAGTGGTGAGTTTCAAGTTATTTCGCTGGCTACAGCTGGAAATCTCTTGTCCTGATACTTACCCTTACCTTCTTTGCTTCTGTCATATAAAAATACTTTTGAAAATTATTGAGAGCTAGAAGCATGTTTTTTGGGTTTTTTTATGACAATTTATCAGATTTGGGGAAGCAAATTCTGTGCACTGATTCCTTGTCCGAACAGTTCTTTCACCAACTGAAGAAATAAATACAAAATCTGGTTTAGCCAGCATTCAGTGTATGAAGTGAGAGAATTGATTATTTCCCATGACATTTGCGTCTCTGCCGTTTCTCAGTGTGGCCCAAGGCAAGCCACTTAAGTTCTCTTATCTGTTCTCCTGTCTCTTGAAACTCATCAGCAGGCATCAGTGGGGTGAGAATGTAGACACTGTCATTTGTACAGTTCTTTGAAGGCATCAAACAATATGTGAAGATTACAATGTGTAATGATATTACCTGTTATTACCACCATGGGCAAATTGTGTTCCACTGAAGACTGATCTCCAAGCAGAAGTTCTTATTTCTGAGTACACTCATTCCCCCCAGGGCTATCCATTCCCACCTGTTCAGCTAATTACATTCCCCCATCACGCGTCTCCGCAAAACAAAAACGTGCTACCCATCCAAGATGGTGAGTGTCACTTTGTTGGAATCTAGTTGATATCAGAAAAAGAAAGTCCCAATAAAATGTAAAACATGTGCCACTTCCTCATCTTTTTCCTCATATATGCATACCAAAGAAATGCTTTATCAAAATGCATTAGAGTTTATTCTAATGTAAATAAAGAAAAGCAAGAAAGCCATGAATCCAATTTCCTATACATAAATCCAATTCCTTATCTGTAATTAATTAGGGTTGCATTAATTAGCCTAATTAATCTGTAATTATTATAGCTCTCAAAGCCTAATTAATCTGTAATTAATATAACTCTTATTTCCAAGCTTCTCAACTCCTTCTTTAGTGTAGAAATTTACAAATTCAGTTCAGTTTGTCCTGCAGTGTTGTCTTTTTGCTCTATTTTTTATAATATGTAGAGATCTGTGAGGTATCCAAAAGGGGGTGAAAATATGACAATTTTTCACAGTTTGCCCCCTGGATTCTGGCAGATTAGCCACATACTGGCCCCAGTGCACTGTTGTGTAAATTAAGCCAGGTCACTGACTTCTGTCTCTTAAATGTGCTGTAGTTTGCATATTTTAAAAAGCACTAAGGAAATGTATGCAAATTATGGTATTTGCACATACTGGAAGCTGAAAACCATGCAGCTCTAATGAGAGTTGAGCAAATTAAACTATATAGTGTTTGGTTTCAAATTTGCACAAATAGTACAAATTTTGTGATTTGTGCAGATTTCCGTAGCGTGTTTTAAACAATGGGCAGACAGATGGACATCCACAGAAATCCCCCTGACTCAGCCTCCTTCTAAAATTGAATCAGAAATAGGCAGGAAGTCTATTATGCTCATCCCTAATGTAGAAATAGTAATGATCTAAGGAATTTATAAGCTGCTTTTTAGGGCCTTTTTATACCCTTCCAAAATAATGCATTGTGCAAGAATAATAAGATGCAAGACAGTGCAACAGCTGGTGCTCTTGAACACATGCTCAGCCTAGAGGGCTGAGTTCAGTAACAGAAGCAAGCTTGCAGATACTTTGCCAAAAATCCACTCCAGCTTCGCCTGCACTCCAGCATTCTTTTTCCGCTACCTGATTTTAGGACAGAGAAAACTGTTCAATTGTCTTGTTAGAAAAGTGAGAGTCAGAAATCCCTGCCCATCTACTGCAAAACTTCCAGGGATCTATCAGTAGATTTCAGCCTGCATTCTGTCTATTCCTGATGTCAGAGGACAAAAGCTTGCCAGAAGATGAAAGCCAATGTTGACAGTTGTTCTTAGCATATAAGAGATTTAGTTTGTATTATTCATTTACTTTATCTTGGCTTTTCACCAAAGGCAGGTTAGTGAAAAACAGCCTTAAATAAAATATTTTTAAAGACTTGCTTAAATTATTGAGTAGCAGAGGAGAGACACTACTCCATCAGGTGGTCATTGCAAAGCTGAGGAGTTTCCGCAAAGAAGGCTCTGTCCCAGGTGCTCAATATGACCTAACTGAATATCTAGGTGGGTACACAATCAGGGCCCCCAAATCAGATCTTGGCATGTAGGTAAGATTATACAGATGAAGGTGGTCTTTTATTTAACATGGTGCCAAATGGATTGGCACATTTAGGTGCTTCCAAATGGCCAATTTCTGGCACTAGCATCTCCAGAGCAGGTGTTTTTCTGGAAAGAGAATAGACACAAGTCATCGGGAAGCACATCATGGTTAAAAGTTCAACACAATGTCATCTGGACTCCTGCTAACATTTGATCAATGCAGCGGGGCAATCGTACAATAAAAACCGTATCCGCTTCAAAATCTATTGCCTCTCCCACACTTTAGAGAATATGACATTGACTGAGCCATGGCTGATCTGCAAGCTGGTATTTTGCCACTTGAGTTTTGCTGTTGAAAGTAGGTCAAGTAATATGTGACTGTGACTGAATCCCTGACTCTTTAAAGTTGCCAATCTGAACTCGCACTGACTAGGAAGTTCCAAAAGGTGAGGAATGCCAGTTGACAGATTTGGATGGTTTTGACTTACAGAGTTGCTTTCCCTTCTTTGCAGCTGTCCCAGAGTCGGTTGCAACAACCTTCATGTCAAGAAATCAGACCTGGTGCCCGATGAAGTCCTGAAAAGAGCAATCAGCAGCCAGAATAAACAGAGCCAATCCACACGGTAGAAGTCGGCTGGCGCTCCAGTGGTTCTTATGACAAAGAAATGTGGTGTTAGAAGAGGTTGCCTGAGATAAGTTACTGATTGTCAGGTGGTTGTGTAAGAGATCGTTATTTAAAATATTCCAGTTGCAGAAAGAGTTGAAGGTCTGACCTGACTCTGAAAGCATTTTCATTGCTCCTTGGAAACTGCCAAGTGTAACCTGTTCAATTTGCTTTGCTTTTTAAAAAAGGGGCTCGCATTTTGTAAATAAAGATATGCGGACCGTTGTCTCCTCCTCCATTTTTGTGGCACTTCTTCAGATTAAATGTCCCCATAACAAAGTATTCTCTATTTTCTTTAACAATCTGGATTTGCCAGATGCTTGCTCTTGTGCAGAAGACTGAACAGTAATGAACAATAGTGGTCCAGCCTTAAGGCTCAGCAAAATGCTTGCTTGTATCATGTGTACATGATGGCATCGTCTTGCCAAGTCCATGTGTCTCAACTAGAGATGTGTGAGGAATCAGCCCAGAGGTGGGAATCTGCTGGATTCCCCAGGCTTGGCTCCCCAGACGCCAGTGGGCTGGAATCCAAGTTTCTGGCGAGCATGCCCAGCATTTTCAGGGCACCCACAAATCACTGAGCCCCGTGTGCTGGGCAAGCCATGCCCCACCACACGTCAGCAGCACCTGTTCCTGGTGCCAAAGAAGGCTGGTTGTGGGGCGTTCGGTTGCAAGGGGCTTGCCAGGAAGACAGTTCCCCTGCCCGGCCATTGCACAAGCAATGTCCCATAGACTCATAGTAGAGTTGGAAGGGGCCATGAAAGCCATCGGGTCCAGCCCCCTGCTGTTGCAGGACACCAAGTTACACCGTCCCTCTCAGATGGCTGTCCAGTTTTGCCTTGAATGTCTCTAGTGTGGGAGAGCCCACCACCTCTCCAAGCAGCTGGTTCCACTGTTGTATTGCTCTGACAGTCAGGAAGCTCTTCCTGATGTCCAGCCTGCATCTGGGTTGTCACAACTTGAATTGATTATTCCATGACCTACACTCTGACATCAGCAAGAAGAGATCTTGACCTTCCTCTTTGCGACAGCCTTTGAGGTACATATAGATGGATATCATGCCCCCCCTTAGTCTTCTCTTCTCAAGGCTGAACATGCTCATTTCTCAAAGTCTCTCCTCATAGGGCAGTGTTTCCAAACCCTGGATCATTTTTGTTGCCCTCCCCTGGATCCTTTCTAATTTACCTGCATCTTTCTTAAATCTTGGTGCCCAGAACTGGACACAGTATTCCAGGTGAGGTCTGACTGGTGAGGAATATAGAGGAATGACTACTTCTTGTGATCTGGAAGTAATACTTCCCAACCCTAGCCTCACCCTGCATATGGAACAGCAATATTTAACTGGGAGCAAGCAGTGAGACTGCAGCGGTCTAGTGAAGATCCCAAAGAAAAAGCAGGTGTAAGAAGCAAACAGAAATGTATGGAACAGTTATTTATTAATGGCAGCTAAGTTCCACTAATCTTCCAGAGCAGCATGCAGGGATTCTGCCCATATTTCTCATAATGTAACAGTCCCACAGTCCCTTGGGCTGGGAACGTAACTGGCCTGGTGCTGCAGCAATGCGATTGTAAACAGGTCTAACCAGAAGTAAGTTCCATTGAATTCTCTGTTACTTACTCTTGAGTTGGATTGTCTAGGATTGCAGCCACTGCCAGCTTCCTGATGAGCAAAGGATTTATCCTTGCATCTACTCGCGGCCAAGTTGAACTCCCCAGCCACTCTGTTTCATGCTTAGGTAAGGATAGCCTGTTCCAACCACAGCATCGCTTGGTAGAAGGTTCCAACCACATGTCACATGTTCCAACCACAAGTCTCTCGGCAGAAGGTATGAAGGTAGAAGCTGGAGAAAGTATAAACATCATAATAATCCAAATGCCTGCTCAGAGAAGTTCTGCAAATGTTCTTCTGAGACCACGAGAATAAGAGAGGGAGGGAAAGGGTTCAGCTACCCTGTGGTTGGCTGATTCTAACATGACAAGTGGGCGGATGGCGAATACCATAACTGATGAACACAGACCGCACTCAGGAGTACCACCAAAAGCCCTTTAGAAAGAGAAGAGGAGGCTACGTAGTGGCGTGCCAATTCGGGTTTTTTCTAAAGAGGCCTGAATAATTCAGACAGACTTTTGCACAATGCAATGCAGTGGCCAGCCACAAAGAGAAAAGTCTTTTGAAATTGATGTGTGCTAGGGGATGTAGATGTAAAGGACTTTAAACATGGCATCTTGGAGCTTGGCCAGTTGTTTCTTTGACCAATACTTTGATCTCATCGAAATTCTCATGTCGGTGTTAGGCGTGAGCATGAGCTGAGCACTGTATCTTTGATCAAGTGATCTGATCACAGAGCCAAGCCCTGCATATAATATATATTTGCAAATGAGAGTCAGGAATCTGGGCCCAGTATCCTATTAGTTTGAGGACTGTAGTTCTTTCATTTTATTTGCTGAGTTTGTATACCTCCTTTCTGCCTAAACAAGGCAATTCATGGCTTAAAACTGTGCCAAAAGAACAGTGTCTCAATAGCACAGCGCATAATTTTGTGCGCAGAAGGTCTCATTATCTCCAGGTGGGAATGAGAAAGACAGCTACCTCAAACCCTAGAGAGCCCCAGCCAAGCTGGGCAGACCAGCCATCCCTACCTGGTGCCCTCCCCATGATTTGGACTACAACTCCCAGCTTCCTGGCCATTGACCATGTGGACTAGAGCTGATGGAAGTTGCAGTCCAAAGTGCCTGGAGAGGATGGGGTTGGGGGAAGGCTTGGGTAGGCAATGCCAAGTACTGGATCAATGGTTCAGCTTTCTACAAGGCAGCTTCCTAGGTCCCTAACTGAAGAGCCTAATAGCAAAGGAATGGGGTGTGAAGAGGAAAATAAACAGAAATTCAGATACAAAGCCTGAAACGTAGCACGCTGTTACATCATGAAGCTGCATATTGCGCTTCTAGAAAGCACGGTCTCTCATGGAGGCAGTTCTAGAAGGGAAGGAGCTGCGTGGAATGGGTCCTGGCCAGGCCACTGGAGGGGGTCCCACTTTCTTGCCTCTCCTCTGGCGCTACCAGGCAGAATGGTTGCCAATAGAGGAAATTCTATGGAGCGAGGAGCCAAGCGGCCCTTGCAGCCAGTCCAGTGGAGGTTTTGCTGGTTGATGCAGCCAACTGGGAAGGCCCTGAGGGAGGCAGGGGTTCTTGGGGACGTCATCCACAGGAAGCCAACGTGTTTTGTACTTAACGTTGCAGAACCCTCAAGCAAAACTCTCTGAAGCTACCCCGCCACTTGAAGTGTTGTTGTGGCAGGTGCCTAACTGTTTTTAGCTTCTCAGGATTATGGTGAGTATAGGAACGGCGAGTCTGTTGGAAGAATGCCAGCAAAGCTGAAGTGCAGCATTGCAGCAACAAGAACACGGGCTGTTGCATTAACGACCTGGTTGGAAACTATTGCCACACACTTAAGTTATTTTACCTTTCCTTCATTTCTAGCTTCAGTTAAGCAATACCTGAAGAAGACATGTACCTGACTGGTGAGCCCAACTCATAAACAAGCAGCAAAAGCAATTGGCCAAGAGAAACTGGCCTTTGCCATAAACTTGTCTCATGTTCTGTAGCACGTCTGCATAGCTTAAGACCCACCAAGCCAAATAGCATTCACTGCCACATGTGAAGACAAAAGGGCATGCTTTTGAGCTTGATCCCACTACTTTGCCAAGACTTCCGTGCTTGCTCTATGTTTGTTCTCCCTGTTGTTGATGTGTCCCTGCAAGCTGCTCAGTTGGTCAATAATCAGAGATCATGAAAGATGCAGTCCAAGAACATTTGGAGGGCTACCGTTTTCCTGCTACTGTTCTAAGGACATCTCTCCAACCTACACCTATTTCCTGTCTGATCTCACCACCACCTTCATCTTCACAAGTAGGCGGTTGTTCCTAGGCTGGGTCTAGACTCCCTTCCTTCCTGGGGAAGCATTGGAGGTTGTAGCAAGGTCGCCTCAGGGTCCCTTCCTCCAGGATTGGCTGCCAGGAAGGCCCAGGTGCCCACCTGGACTGTTGCCTTCTCCTCACTTCCCCATTTGACTCAGCTCCCTGTGCCTTTCATCCTCTTCTCCTGGCACAGACCTCATTTCCTCTTCCAAAACCATGATGTAAAGTAAAAGAAATGCACCACCTATATGCATGCGAGTTTGCATACAAGAAGGGTGGGGACTTTCAGTCAACAGCAGAGCCTAGTCGGAGAAAAGGCTGCATTCTTTCTGTGATGGGGCCAAAGGCTTTGTAAGGAAGGCCAGAATGTGATTCTTAGCCCTTTTAAGCCTTCTCAGCAGGACAAAGCTTTGCATATCTACCAAGAGATACCACTAACATTGGAATGCATAAGCCAGCAACAAATAGCATCCAAAGTACCAAGCCTTTGCACGCCTAGTCAGAAGTAAGCATGAGCACCATGTCCACTCACAAGTGACCAGGGCATACTTCTGCATGCACACTCACAAGTAAGCAGCATGTTTCTTAGCTGGATGTAATCTCAGCTACGCTTCCCAGGTTCTGCCATTTTCAGTGCAAAACAGGGAAATGGGCAGTCTGAGGAAGAAACCAGGCAGCAAGAGGTTCCCCAGTATGGCACAAAGCCATCAAGATGAGCAAATGGCTTGTGTGAATTTCCCTTCATCTTCATACATCTTCATCTCCATCATTCTAATGGAGACACTGGGCAGCAGGGAACACTGGGCTAAATGAAGGAACGGTTCCACACACCCTGAGAAAGGTTCAGGTGTTTCTTTGGGGGATATTGCCCACAGTGCACTAACAGTGCTTCTTTCCTTGGACTAAGAAGATAAAATTGGCTGGGACACTTATGCTGATCAGCTGTCCTAGAAACCTGAATCTTTCATCTTTGTCCCTGCACAAGCTGCACAATTGTTTATATTCATCTCTTGGCTGCCTTTCCTCTTCCTCCTGTTATTCGTTGAACCTTTAAATCAAAGACTGAATTGGAAAAGATCACAAAAGGTTGCCTTGTCCCATGCCCCAACCACACTGAAATCTGCTACCATGACAGGCCTGAGAGCTTGGCAGTCCATCCTCCAATTACAAGCCTCAAGCCTGACGACTTTCAGAAGATCTGCTGAAGCTTTTGTCTGAAAGGACTCACAAGAGCCAGGTTCTAGCTTCCACTCAGCCATGAAGCTCACGAGGTGACTCCGGCCCAGTCACTACCTCTCAGCCTAACCCTCTTCCCAGGGTTG